TTTTCAGAATTTTTTTTAAATCGTCAACTAAATAATACATTGATTAGTAATTAGAAATTCAAGACACAATAACTTCTTCAATCCATCTTAGTAAAAGAGAAATAAAAGAATCCCAAGCGATCTTAACATAATCAAAACCAAACAACTACTAAATAGAGTTATCCGTGTATTATACCATAGTGCGTGACAATTACATAAAAAAACTGTAAGATAATTACCTACATTAATTCATTAGGCTTTTACCATTCGTTACAATATCATACTTTATGTATGGTGACGTAATAAATGACGTCATTAGTAGGACCAGGTCACGTGGGTGTGGAGCGGAATAGCTTAAAAGGTGGAATAGAAAGATTTTGTGTCACTGCAACTCGTGGAAGCTCAGACAGAATAACTTTTGAACGTTGGATTCACAGATCAGACAATCCAGGTAAGCGTCTGATGATTTTTTTTCATAGCGATGCTATATTGATTTAAACGAAGGGAAATCGATTTTTTAACCAAAAGTATTTTCTATGGATCTTCGGCGATATCGAGTTGATAATTTCAAGTTTAGGAGAAAAGGCCAAACGGGGGTTAATCATGAGCCATGACACTTCAAATCATTGAAGATCACTTCACTTTTGATATTAAACTAGTGATGTAGGAATCTGGAAGTGGCGGTAGTTCGCGTTTTACATTTATAAAATTTATTAATATATAATGGAGTTCATGTTGGGTAACCGAAGTCCCGTGGTAAAATACTGACTAAGGGCTAAAGGCTAAAGTTCTCTGGGTAACTTTAATACGTCTGTTATAAATATATATGACTTAAATCAGTGCCATGTATACAACAGAGAGCCATCAATCAATTCAACCAACCCTGCCGATACTACCTGGCTGAAATGTTTAAGTTTAAAATGGCAATATTTCATGATTTCGTTTTAAATAGTATTTTTTCAAGTGAAATCAAGCTCAGTGAATGACGGAACTTTTTGACAAACTGTGAGACCAGGGCGTTTTGAGCATTTCTTAGCGTATTTTTATCACTCTATGATTTCATGTTATGTGTCTATAAAATGCCGCATTTTAAGAATCTCTAACGTCATTTTTAAAAGTTTTCTTAAATAATCACATTGGCGAGCAAACAGAACGATGTATTCAAAGTAACTTTTAAAACGTGTGATTTAAGTCCGGTAGAGTGGACTCTTCTATGTGAACCAGAAATGATTCATACTCGAGAAAAAAGCATGACTCACTCGTTGTTGACTATGGTAAGCCCAAAGAAAACAACAGCTTAAACAACTGATTTGTCTAAGTGTTTTCAAAACAACTAGAGCTGTACATGGACTTTGAAGCTTTCACAGTACTAAGACCCTCTGCCGTCACAACATTTAACCTTTTAAGGACTTTTTTATCTAAATATAAAGAATAAAAATTGATTCAAATCTTTATAAATTGCAATGGTCATTTAGATTTAGTGTTAAGGCGGCTAATTATAATGTGGCCGGTTCCGAGTTACTATTGATATGCTAAAAGCATTTTTTTTTTTTTGTCTTCTTTACGCCGACTGTTGAACCTCTTATCAAAAGGACCCTTTAACAATAGTTTAAATATTTTTTACGCCCCCTTTTGTTCTTTTTTATATGTTAATCCATATCATTTTTGAATACACATCTCTTTTTCGCTTGCGATTGATCCAGAAACGCAGAAACTTACGATCAAGCGCAACAGAGCCGATTTTGTACAATTCTTACATCAATGTGTACGACTTAGTGTTCGAATCAAAGAATCTTAGTGCGCTTTCCATTTGTCAGAACTGGCTGGCCATACCCAGAGAAAATGTCATTATATATCATTCCCATTTAGTTAAGAAATTCAAATTTTCAAATTCTATCCATTATTCTACAGAAAACCTCGAAATGACTGAAAAATGTTGACAAAAAGCATTATATACCTCTAAATAGAGTGGACTGGCCGGCCAGTTCTGCCTAAATGGAAAGCACCCCTAAAAACCGCTCGATGAACTTGTTTTTAAACTCCTAGAGGTATTTCTAGAATACGCGATATGTGTGGTAGTCTAGTGGTTATAGTGCGTTTCAGAACTCGAACCGAATATTCAATCTTTCTTGCTTTATAGCCCTTCAAACTCATTGAAACCTTGCGTTCATAATTCCAATATAATCTCTTACAACTTCGTACAATTGATCCGTAGTTAAGTATCTTAAACAGACGAAACATTTGCTTTAAAATTTGCTTTTTGCGGCCCTGGTTGAAGTCAGACTATGAACTGCAAGCCATCACCGACATGACAGAGCCAGAGGTTAAATTTCCAAAAAAAGTAAAAATATCAATATATTTGGACATTAATTAAAATATGTTTGGGCT